TTACGTGTATGCTTCCCTCATGTACATATTCCGGTAATTTACACTCATAGGAATGAACTGTTCTCTTACCCCTGATAACCAAGCTGTCTCCAAATTGGCTCAGTTCCGTTACCTCAAGAAAGAAATTCATCAAATATTAATTCATATTCAGTCCGGCTAATGCCATGGTCTCATTGCAGGGCCTGATCTGAAACTTATATGCACATAAGGTTTCTCCATTTAACACACATTTTAGGCCAATTTGACTATCTTGTTTCCAATCCATGAGGCAAGTTATTACCTTCCACCCGCCGTAATCCAACAAAATAGTCCCGCACCAGCTGGCAAACTTTGAAGGACCCTAGAGGTTAAGATCTAAGCTGGGTGCTGGAACTTGCTGCATTTTGGGGATACTTCTGAAGTTATGCCATAGGGCTAAGGTGGGTAGGGTTTAAAGGCTCAATTTGCCTCTTGATTTTCAATTCTTCCCTCTCTGTCTCATGGTATCCCAGATGGATACTCACATGGTTCCCAGTCGTGGCCGTACGGTGAGTCAGCGGCAAGGACAATCTGGAATACGGCCTGGGTGAGGCAGGCAAGGGCAGACAAGATGAGAAGGATGATGAGGTATATCCCAGTCCTCCCTGGGCAAAACAAGGGACAACAAACAACAGAATTATCAGTAAATTAAGAGTAAAGTATCAACAATGAGCAAATCAATGATAGTCTGATTAAAATTTGCCAGAAAAGCAAGGAATATACCGGTTCGCAATTTGGGCTTTGACAAAGAACAAGGAAATTCCAATCTTTACATGACTCTGTTCAGTGTTTTTTTAATTTTCAACGGCACGAGTATAAAGTGATAAATGTGGAAATTAGTTGATCCAAAGAAAAGTTGCACGCCTGACTATAAAGGCTATCAGATACAGGGAACAAAGCTAGAACAATGGGTACAGGACGGTGGAAACACAACGGTAAGATTACAAAACAAAAGCAAGACTTCACACACTTTCAGCTTTGTAAAACTTAAGTTTTAAGGAGAAAAGTATCATTCCTGTGCTTTTATCATGAACCCTTCATTTTTATTCAAGGATGGAAATGGAATGAAGTTGTCATTCTAACCAGTTCAATATTTAGCAGAGAACTTGTTACTTAAAGAGTATTTGACTACAACACTGGTAACAGGCCAGCCGGGCTATCACTTCACTTTTCTAGGAAATGCGTGCCAGTCTTGACTTGGGGAGGGAACCTTACCAGACATGTTCCTTCGGCTGGGATTGGGCATGAGGGGTAGCACCAGAAGACAGAGTAGATACGCACCGGACAAGGCATTGTAGCGCAGTAATGAGGCTGTTGAGAAAGACAATAAACACAGAGTACAACTACATGTATATTCATCTGAAATTACAACATACATGTATGCCTCCCTGAGCAATTTTGATTTGACCCTTCCTATACCTAAAACCCACACCAGGAAACCAATGGCACATTCTCTGTAAATGTAACGCTCTTTATTCCTTCCAGTGGAGCCAATCCCCATGACAATGTAACATCTACATGTATGTACATGTACACATACATGTACGTGGACATGTGGTTGGACTCTACAAACCTCAATACTGCAATATCCTCCAAAACCTTGATAGTGATGCATCAGGGATTATGGATAAGATACGAAGACAATGCAATACAGACGCAATGAGTTCATACAATTGAGGTGCATGTAAATACATTTGCAATATGCTATACATGGCAGTGCTGTGGTGGAGTACACCTGTACACATTGTACATGTATGAATGCAAGTTTGTAAGTGTTTGCAAAAGACATGGAAGTATTGTACAATGAATGCCTATGTGTAAAATGTACATTCATGTACATGTTCTGCTAGTAGAGTACATGTACATGTACTGGTACATGCAGTAGCATGGTATACTACAATCAACGTGCAATTCCAAACTGTTAGAAAGTCTGCCGCTGGACAACTGAGATTGTAAGGAGTTGATGGGAAAATTGGAATCCACTCTGTAAACTGTGAGAACGGCATAAATATCCAGTGTTGGGGTCAAACCAAGCACAGTGATCTCACCGGTCAGAACTACTGG